GGGGGAGTGGTGGTGTGGGGGGGTTACACTCCCTGGCGCTTCAATCGACCGTGGATTGGTAAAGAAGTGACGTGGAAAATGTTCTTTTTCATCCATCGCTCAAACAGTTTTTGATCATCGCACTGAGGTGAAAACTGTCACTGAGCAAAACAGTGTTTTAAAAATACAAACTGTCACCAGTATCAAAACCGTGGCCCTGGGACCAATGGTGGTCCCAAGAACTCACTTACCCTCTCACTGCTTTGCCCTTCCCTGACAGCACCATGACCAGGACATCACTCCTACCCTGCAGTACCTCCAGCTGCCACCACACTACATTTCCTCCACCTACCCCACCTCTGCCATGTTGGCCACAGAGACCTTGGTTCAAATCCTCTGTTCCAGCTTGTTCCGTCCGCCTGACCTTAACGTATATTTAGCTCGTTGCTACTGTTCAGCGGTTTTTCAGGGCAAACTTTAAATTAACTTTTGATAAACTTTCAGCCATCCTTCCGGGGGTTTGGGAATACCTGTGGAGAAAGTTCAGGTTTCCATTTTCTGTTTTTCATTTACTTTTGTTCCCCTAACTTTTGTTTGCGTTATTGGACTTCTGAAAACATTTAAACTGAAAAATGTAAACGCTGGAGTTGATTTCCGATGGATCTACAAACGGAACTCTTTTCAGTGTGCTAATGAGCTTGTAACTCCGTAACCGTGGTAACAGAGACACTGGTGTTTGACCCAACAATAACAGCAAATGAACAGGAAGTAAAAAATGTAATTGTTTTTTTCGTACGATATCGTGTTCTTTTCATGTTGTTTTCTGCTTTTCACTCATAAATCAAAGGTCACCTTGTAGTTTGTTTGTGTGTGTGTGTGTGTGTGTGTGTGGGTGTGTGTTTAAGGTCTCGTCTCAGTTCTAGTGTCAGACGCGACTGCACCGTAGCGGTAGATGAATTATTTAGAACCTCCTGCTGTGGTGTCAACACCATTAGACAGCTGCATGTTTTTGGTGACATCGCAGTCTGTGTGTGCGTGTGTGTGTGTGTGTGTGTGTGTGTGTGTGTGTGTGTCTGCGTTAATGGCCCTCACTGGAGAACCATATGTCACAGAGTGAACTGTACACGTGGAGCAGGTTTCTGCTGTGAAACCCTGCAGCAGTGTGAACTCCTGCCTGTGGCGGCGCCGCCAGGATCTTTGTGCTTCCAGGAAGAAGATTCTCATTTGCAGATTGACTGGGAACACTCAGAACTTCCTTCAAGAATCTGTTTCACTGGGAGGTGGTGGGAACGTGAAGGAGTTCAACAGCATTCATCCAAAAATATCTGGCACAAATCTGGTGTGTCTGGAGTTCCAGTTTGCCAAACGAAGAGTTAAAATGTTTTGATGAATTTTGGTCAGTTTGTTGGTAAATTAATGCATTCAGAAAAATCTGAAATCTGAAAAATGTCTTTTTTATTTTAATTTGTGCCATTGTAGAAGTTTACTTTGTAGTTTAAAAAACAAAACAAAACCTTGCATGCATTGATAAGACACAGACGAAGGTGAACAAACTTTCTTTTCCTAGGAA